ACACAATAAATAAGTATTTATTGGCGTAGTCAAATTAATTAAAAATTGGGTCCCAATACGTAATTATTTTTAATTTGGGTCCCTATCTGTAATTATTTTAATTTTTTGGGTCCTTATTTGTAAATTCCCCTTAAAATTAATAGAAATGGTTAGAGTGAATACTAAAATTTTGTATAAAATATTTTTTGTTAGAATCAAAAAAGTTATTTTATAATCAGGATTTGAGATATCAATAGCCCGTGTACATACACAATGTACAAATAGAAATTGCATTTATATTTTGTAAAAAGTTTTATTTAAAAGTTTACTATAAATAGTTTAGTATTTTTAATTGGATATTTTTCTATATATTTAATATATATATTTAATATATAGCTATTATCTAATAAAAGTAATAAGTTTTTTAAATAAAATATCAGGTTTAAAACTGTTTTTAAAATTGTTTATACACTAGTAATGTTTAATATTCTTATTAAATAAAATTTATGTTTATAAAAATAAATATTAAAATTTTAAAAAGTACTTTAAATGATATAAATTAACTATATACTAATTTGAATCAACCAATTAGACAATGTTGTTCTATAACTATTTATATAAAGAGTTAGAATAATGAAAGAAATATGAATAGCATTGGAAGGTAAAAAGTTAAGGGAGACGGGGCATTGTAAATAATTATTTACCAGATTAAGCGGATTAAGACGCAGATATTATTTCAACACCACCGCGCGAAAATTCTGATTTCACCCGAGCATAAAGTAGGCTTGCAAGACTGGTAATGTTCAATAAAAATAAACCTTTACTTAAAGAGCCTTTCCCTTAAATTGTATCGTCCTCTTCACGTAGTACCTTCCGGGTACAAATCAAGTTAATTGGGTGTTTTTAATTTATACCCTGGGAACTGAGCGATAAATACTACACGTGACGTTTCGGATAATGGTTATCTTTGGTTGTAAAAAAATTCTGTTTAGAAATAAATTTATTGAAGTTTGAACATGCTTGGATGTTTGGAGGAGCAGTTGTGAGGGTTACTATGTCAAATTATTTTCAAACTGTGTCCAATCCAAATAATTTGAAAACAATTGGACATAGTAACCCTCAGCACTGAACTTAAGGCATCAGAAATGTACAACACTGCCAATATGACATAAACACAAAAATTTACTGTACATAAAATAATTTCTATTCAACATTATAATTCATGGTCGTTGATTATAAAGACAATAAAAACTGTACATAAATATAAAACTATAATAATATTTTCTGAATGGAAAATTTTCAAATAAACTTGTCTTAATAAAGTGTTTGGGTCCTTTGGTCATCACTCCTCAAAAAAAAAAAAAAACTTTTTTTTTATTCAGAACGTGGTTTTACTCGAACACCAATTCATTCTTGAACATTGTCTGGCTCATCGCCCAATATATTTAGATAAAGAAGGGATGAGAATTCATTTATGTTCGTATAAATTTCGTGAGATGATATAAAAGTAAATAATTGTAGTAGGGTGTTATACAATATGTTCTGTTATGGGATTTAATTTTGATCGACGATATAATGATAACAGATAATAATCAAACGAAGTGATCTAATGATAATGTTTAGCGTTAGAAATTGTTTTTTTATTCCATTTTATTGGGGTGTACAATATCGGTCTAATTACAACATAGCGCAGGTGATGTAAGCCAAAATCAGCATCGGCCATGACAATAAATATACGAATGTAATTCAGCCATTAATTATATAATCATGTCAAAGAACTTCCCACTATATAAACATTCTTCCGGAATTTAAGTTTATAATTTATGGACTTAGTTCTAAGTGATATATCTGATACATACTATATATATATATATACTTATATGAACTAGGTCCGATAATTTATAAACTTAAATCTACGAGGTCTTGGCAGCACTCATATTAATAATATATACAGTAGTTTAACCTTTTTCAATTTATATTACAAATGTTGACTTTACTGACATTTATTAGTTGTCGCATATTCAGAACGGTTAGAAGCTTATTTAAAAAGCAAAGTTATGATTATTCATAATTTGGTGGTTACAAAGATATTCTGCCTACAAAAGTATATTTAGATGATAGCACTTGCAAAAAAATTGAGGTAATACTTATTCATATTTACATTAGATTCCCCGGCATTCAAGGTCAATTAGCTTCAATAATTGAAATATGTCAGGCCTTGTGGTTTATGAATTATAATAATTAGTTATATCGACATGTTTATAATTTGAGCATTACGTTAATCACGGGTTTGTATTTTTCTCTTTCAACAATATTATCTTGTCTTTCTCGCCGATCTTATCTTTATTGTTGATTCATTATTTCGACACTGTTCTTCAAGTGTCAGAAGTTAATCTTTTTCAGCCGCATAAATTCTTACACCTTTTTGCATTTTAAAAGACTTCAATGCAATAAATTATTGCTTATTTTCATTAATCTGTCTATTTTATTTTTCGACCTTTTTTTTAATATTTAAATTTCTACAATGTGATAGCAATAGTCCAAAATCAAGATTTATCTAATTTAGTAGAGCATGGAAAGGTCTTCCACTCCGCTCCAGCCCAATTAAAGAATAACATGTCAAGCAATATACAGTGCATAACGTTTTTTAAAGACTAAAACTTACACGTAACGTTCAATCATTAATTGACTATTAAAACTTACATATAGCTAGTATAGTAATAAATAATAAGATATATATTTGTTTTCAGGTTCTTGGAAATATTGAATAGGTAAATTACCCGGGCATTTGACTAAGAAAAAGGTTCGCCACCAGCGTTAGGATTATGTTACCTGATCTTTGATTTTAATTCGGCCGATAACGAAATTTTTTTAAGGTGGGTGGCAAATGACTTACATCAGCCAATCATAAGAGTTCCGCTCACGTCTGAATTGTGATTGGATAATCAGGCGAAAAAAAATATAAAGGGCGTCGCACGCGTCTAAAAAAAACTGTTTTTTTTAGGCGCGATTTACTCGAAAATGAAGTATTTTACTGGTGACGAATCAGGACTAATCAAAGGTCAATTGACTTTAGTATAATGTTTAAAGCTTTTACAAAAGAAATTAACTTAACTTCACATTACAGCAATTACTTTTCCGAAGACTTCCCCCCAAGCTGAAGTAAAACCCGTCGTTACAATCTGGGGAGAAGTTGATCCTGCCCTAAGTATTCAAATGATGTGTCACGCAAAAATTTTAGGGGGACAGAAAAAGGTTGAAAAAAGAATATTCAATTCTTGCTAAATTATTATTAATTCCACTATGTTATATTTACAATTTATTTTCCGGATGACTTAGCTCGTAGTTGCACGTAGAGGTGGTTCAATACAAATCATTGACCCGTATGAAGAAGGCAAAGTATGTAAAGAATTCAACGAAGACCATGTCGCTAGAGATAAAAAGAAATCTATTACTAAAGCTACGAAATTTGTTGGCTTATACGCACATGACAAGTAGGCTTATAATATAAAATAATATATCAAGATGTTTAACAACAATTTTACTTCATGAAATATTAATCAATTTATTATTATTTATAATGAAAAAATTATTAAGCATCTTAGTGACGTGCACCAGCAGCGGTAAAATTCGGTATCAACCCATCACTGTTGACAATGTAATCATATTATTTTTTAGTTTTTTTAGTAATCCATTTTGAACCAATTTTAATTATTGAATTATTCTACTTTTTAAGAGTTCATCTATAGATATCACTGCTGAAGAAGTAATCATATTACTTTTTAGATTTTTAGTAATCCATTTTGAAAAAATTTTAATTCTTGAATTATTCTACTTTTTAAGATAGATAAAACTATTGGTTATGAAACGAACTTGTGCCGTATGAAAGTACACCCAAAAGAAAATAATATATTCGTATGCGGTGGAAGGCAACGTGATTTGTCTGTATGGGATATAAACGCCACTGAAGCTCCAATTTTTACAAAACGTAGGGAGGCAGATAAGGGGATGATTTGGATGGCGAAAAATGTGAGATGTGACCTTCTAAGTGCTCAACCTCCTATATGGATCACCGATTTGCTATTTTTGAATGAAGATGAGAAAACAAAGATTGTAACTGGAACTAGGTATCATCAGGTAAATAAACGATATTACTCAATTATTTCTAACGCAAACAGTTATTATTAATATGGGTTTGTCTATATCTATGATTAGATACGAATATATGATATTAAAGTGCAACGTCGACCTGTGTTTGAAGCAAACATTGGGCATAAGGCAGTAGTATCGTTAATTAAAGGAAAAGATCCAAAGTATTATCTTTTCTTCTTCATGTGTTTTTTTGGTGTGTGTACAAAGTTGTATACTAAGTTATGTACATATAATATTTTTTATATATAGCCACGTAATTTTTTCTGATACCGTTGGCAATGTCTTCACCGTAGATCTTAGGAATGGTATGAGTTAATTGTAACTAAATCTGTTGCGTCAACTATTTATTGAGAATATATAATAAGATTCCCTATCATATTTACAGGGCAGAATATAGGACAATACAGAGGTTTCACAAAAGGTTTCATTCAATTATTCATAATAATAAGATTTTTTCATAATTTATTAAGATTTAATAACTTATATAAATTTTTAAGGGGCCACTGGCTCGGTGACTAGTTTGGCGATCGACAAAAAATCTTCATCTTTGGTCAGCGTCAGTGTGGATCGACATCTACGCACGCATAAAATGAACGAAGGGCGTGAATTGGATAAAACAGTATATCTAAAGCAAAAACTTACATGCTTGATTATTGATGATACTGAAGGTACGAAATTTTCGTTGTTATTTTACTATTAAAATTGTCTCCTAAGTTTGTCTCTAAGATTGTATTTATTACATACAAAACAGAAAATGATGCTCAATTTGGAAAAAACAGAACCGTTTGCGAGTCCGACACAGATGATGAAGATTGGAATCAAGTTAAACCAAAGGCCAAAAAAAGAAAAGTTAATTAGAGAAATGATCCGAATTTTTTCATTCATGTTATTTTAGTATCTATATATACTTCATGGTAGAATTTCAGAATTGAATTTATTATAATGATTGCTTAAAATCCTTTGTCCATTAGCCATTTTTTCAATACAAAGCAATAATCGCCTTTGATAACTACATTATTGTTTGTATGATTGATTGTAACTTTGGAACGAGTAGAGTGATCTTTTGGAAAAAGGTCTTTCTTGATGTCATTATGAAGTGCCTAAGTTTATAATGTTTTAAATAAACCGGTTCTTTTTAGTTATAAAAATTATATAAATTTGTTCAATAATATAGTACTTATAAATTACCTGAATATCGCCTTCAATTCTTCTTAAAATAGTTAATATTCGTGTTCTTCCGTTTTTGAGATCAATGTATACTGGTAATGACTTATTACTTGTACGATGAATATAATAAGGATGTTGGACATATTTTATTATAGGGTTAGCTAATGTTGTTAAACGAGACCCTTTTTGCATGATGAAACTAAAACTAACACAGTTGTCTAAGCGATGAATCATCAATAACATGACAGAAATTCGTTTTTATTGGCTGATAAACAATAATTCTGATTGGCTAATATTGATAATCTTCAAACAAATAAAACAAATAAACCTGTTCTCTTCGGTTTAAATGATATAGTGTAATAACTGGTTTTTTTTTGTTATTTTAGGCCAAAATAGTATAGTATAGGCTGAAATTAAAACCTATACCATACTGATCAACTATAATTACTAACCCTAAAGCTAATATACAGTCGATACTGTCTAATTGCATACGTACGTATACTCTCTAAATGCATAAAAAATCTTGTTCTTAATTATTAACGCCAAAATGATTCTTACAGTATAACTTAAATGCATTTACTGTCTATATGCATAAAAATGTCTCTAACGGATGGCATACAATCAGACAGTACGTATCGACTGTATATATCACCGGATCAGTATAGTATCAACTAATCAGAACGTATCAAAAATATGCTTTTTATGTGATGCGTAAAGTGAAAATTCTTGATTCGATTTATAGCATTACTTTTGTGCAGATAAATAATTTTTGGTTCATTTTAATGAAGATTAAATTTTAACTTACGAATAAATCGTATGTTTTAAAAATTTTACGGTTGATCGTACTGCACTCAAAAAGTTCTGCGCTTAACAATTAAATACGATCTATTCAATTATACATAATCTATTTTCCCAAACTGATGCTTTAATGCATTCACACTCCCCTAAGTGCATGCTTTAGTGACCAGATATAAATTTGCATTTAGAAAAGGTTTGCATTTTTATAGGATTATCTCTTTAAATGCATACTTTTTAAAACCCAAATATAAGTTTGCACTTGGAGAAGTTGTAACTTTATAAAATTATTTTTATTTTTATTTGTTAGAAATCATATGCATGCAATTATAGAAATTATATATTTAAATTTCAAAATTTTATGCATACAGTAAAATCTCTCTAAGTGCACACTCCTCGTGACCATTGGTAGTAAAAGATAAGCAAAACATGTTCTTATAAGTTGGAGCCAGGCTATACCATGCATTTAGAGAGAATTTACATTGAGCGTGCATGCGTTTAGAGATGTCTTATTGTATGCAGAATATAGGTGTTTGAGTCCAAGTTTGAAAAAGGTTTGCACTTGAGGGGTGTGACTGTATGTAGAATTTGTATTATCGGCTGATTGCACATTCGAACATTTTAACATGCGCTGTTGGCATGCGTTGTAAGGTCGATTATTATTTTTTTTCATCTGAACATGAATCGATTTTACCCTTGAGTACTACGTATATTCATAACCAATTTACTATTCTTCATAGAATTTACTATTCTTCATAGAGATAATCATTTCTACTAAATTTACAATGAATTCATTCAATAAAAAAATGCTTATCTAATCCTCTGTCAATATACCTATCGTATTCACCTCAGCTGTATCGTGTAATCTTATTTCATTAAGATCTTCAATTAAATACTGCGTTACATGACTATCTGTCCATCAAGATTAAATTTTCCACAGTTTTCGTCGAAGGTTTCACCCTATCGTAATATTGAACATTCATATCTATATCGTGCCCTAAATTTACTATTACCCTAACACAAGACTCACATGTTGATTAGTGTAATTCTGAATGTTTTGAAATACGTACGCAAATCAATAAATATAATAAATATAATATCGATATATAATAATAAATACAAAATCAAAATTCAGGGTTAGAATACTCAATCTCATTTTGTAACAGATTAAATTCAGCGGTAAATGATCATCAAGACGGTAAAAAATCCGAAAGTAAAAAAAAATATTAAAAAAAATCAAAAAATAACAATCTTGTCTCAGAATCCATATCAAACTAATAATTTTTGTTAACAGATCAGCACCAGTAAAATTTACCAAGTCCCGTTAACTACCTTTCCTCTTTCCTGAGCTCTACCTGAGCTCTACCTGAGCTTTACCTGAGCTCCATAAGTTGAGCAAGAGCATAAAACAGTAGTCTATATAAAACGCGATCAATTCGTAGTTAACCTTTTTTAACCATTTTGTCGCATTATATCAACAATTAAACACAATCATGAACGAGCTTTTTTGATGATGATTAAAAATTAATAATAACATTTCATAAATAGAATTGATATTGCTTGATCTCAGGTAAAATTGAATTGTGATATTGTATTGTCTTAACCATTAATCCGCTTATGAATTGCTTACGAAACCGTTTATGAAATCGCATAATAATTATAAAATCATCATTGTATTTAATTAGTCAATTGCTTTTCTTAGTTGTAAATTGCTTATGAAACTAGAGATGGGCAAGTTTAGTTAACTATTATTATTTATTATTTCTTATCATTTTTTGCGTAATAATTAATAATAAGTAAAGAATTATGATATAAGCAAAAATCTTGATCAGAAAATTATTGAGTTTAAAATTTGCTTTCCAGATTATATCCGTAAAATGTAATAAGCAATAATTAGGTATTCATCAGAGGAATAATTAGTAATAATATGTATGTGTAAATATTGGTAAAAAATAAGTAATAATTACTTACATTATTACCTTGCCCATCTCTATATGAAACTGATTATGATCTTTATAAATTATTCATAAATCATTACGTATATCAATTTACAAAAGTGCATGGCTTCGTTACACTAAAGTATAAATATAGACACGCGTTCGGACAGACAAAAAATTTCCAAATTACGTTTTTGATATGATCTCCATAATGTTTATGCAGACGCATCAAAAAAGTAACTATTTTTGATCGACATGCATCAAAATTTATATCTGTTGATCATATTTTATAAACAAAATACACCTTTCAATTATAGTTGTTAACGATGCAAAAACATCAAACAACAGAAACAGTAACGAAATTAAAAGATGGTGAATCAACAGGATGGATAAAAGTTATAAAAAAGCCAACGTCGAAAACGAACGTAGTGTCACAAGCAAGTAGACTTGTCACTAAACCAAAACCGCGTGTAACCTTAAAGCAATCTTCTTTATCCGAGTTTTTCCAGCTGGAAAATAGAATTGTAAATAATCATCTAAGCATTACAAAAGAAGTCAATATCTCGCGTCAAGATCAAGTCCTTAAACCACCCGAGAAAAAGCAATCGTCCAGAAAACGAAAGGATGTTCGAGAAGAAACAACAGAAAAGAATATTAAACAAGGTCAGAGTCGGCAAATTACTTTGAAAATGTGCTTTGGAAACAATATAAACTTTTATGCGCAATTGAGAATTACCAAAGAAAAAAGTAATACCAGTAAAATTAGTGAAAAAAGAAATAATCGTGTCAAAAAAGCAAAATCAGTTCAAACTAAAAATGTAATAGATAAAGATGAAAAAGTTCAAAAGAAATTGGTGGATTTTTTTCTTTTGAAAAATCAGCATATAAACCATAGTCAAAATACTTTAATTGCATCAGAACTTCAAAGTCTGTTGCATAATATTCACTTAATTGCATTTCTATTTATGAGAGTTTTGATCAAATTTTAAAATATAAATAGATCTTCCTAATTCAGCATCTGTGAATGGCTCAACAGCTCTAGATAATCAGCAAATGCCTCTGTATAATTCTTATCACCTATCAAATCTTTCCGTGTTAACGGATGATTCTTTTATAACAACATCTTCGCGTATAAGTTCTGAAATTACGCCAGATAGACATACTGGAAAGTCGTCCAAACATATTCTTTGTGACGGGATTGCACATGACAAGGATCTTGAAAAGAACTCATCAGCTCAAAATAATAATACTCCATTGCAAAACAATGTGAACACTTTATTGGAAATGGATGGTAAACGTTCAATGTCAGTGCAGAACAATTCGTCTTTAGTAGCTGCATCAAAGTCAGTGAGTCGAAGAATGACATCCACAGATAAACATTATAAGAGCGCACACTTAAATTCATCAGTAGATAATGACAATCTTGACTTAGATTTCCAGGAACATAAGGAGAATATAATAATTATTGATGATGATGATGATGACGATTTATGGTCTAATGCTGATTATAATACGACTAAAACAAACGGTGGTGCTTCTACGAAAGTTATGGTACAAACTGAGATCTTGGATATTCTTTCCACACGAATTATTGGTGAAATGGATAATCAAAATGAGCTAAAAGAGATACTTAGACCTCGAACACCAGATTCCATTCAAGAAAGATTGATTAAATCCGGTATCTCACCTGCACCTTCTCCACCATCATTGCTTTCTCAAGATTCACTTGAACAAATACCGTTGTCTATTTTGGAACAATTACCTTCGATAAATACATGTACTTTCCAATTTGATGATATCGATGACCTGTTGTCATAGAATGTTATCTAACATAGATATTGGAAGAAGGTAAATAATTTTTATTTTGCCTTCATGATCGGATGCTATTTATAAATTGTAAAAAGAGTAAAGAATCTGTTATAGAATAACATAAAATGTTTTTCTTAGCATTATTTTTAAGAAAAAGAAATAAACTATCATACAATATGTCGTGCCTCAGATGTTAAACATGGCTTAAAAAATTCGATGTGCGCACATAACTTATTAGCAATATATTTTAAATAATGTGCGCTATATAGTTAATAAATTAAAAGCGTACATTATATTTAATAATATGTGCGGCATATGAACAATAAATTTAAAATTATGTGCGCAATGCACATAATTTTTATTCTGAATTTTTGGGCACAACATATATTGATATAGTTTTTTGTTAAATCTGATCGATTCTTGAATTCTAGATGATGTCTTCATAAGTTATTAGTATAACTTATAATAATACGTCTATTTGATGAAAGCAAAAAATAAATAAAAAATTGAATTCATCATAGGCTAGAATTTTTAATCATGCCCCAAGGTGTTATTTTGACATGGTTCAATCCAGTAAGTAATTTCAGTTACAGTAAAACCTCCATGAGTGCTAGAGATGCCGTAGAATCGTCCCAATGAAGTCGAATGATAGTTATCACATGGCTGTAACTTGCCGTAACTATAGTAAGTAACATAGTAAAGTTACGACATTATAGCTGTAACTTTACTTATTATTTACTATA